AAAACGATCGTCGTCCCGCTCGACCTATTAGGTCTATCAGCGATCGCGATGACAGATAAGATCGACCGCCCCCTTTGTGCCGATATTTACCAGTGCAGTTCGGATAATATCCCGGCATCCTCTTCGATCCTGAAAGAGAGCATCTGGCTTCTCCACGTGACCGGAGGCTCCTTTGTCCTCATCATTCTGCCCTTATCACGGCGATCGCTGCCTCAAGTTGGATCGAACATTAAGCGTAGCGTAGCTGCGACGCGTTGACGTTTCACTCGATCTCCCGCGAATTCGCGCAACCCCGAATCTAACTAATACTCTGAATATTTCCAACGACACACCGTGGGCATTGCGCGTTTCCCTCGCTGACAAAAATAAAGTACAGTACAAATTAATCCCACAGAAAAGACTCACGGAAGAAACTCGAAGTTACAAAAAAGACACACACATCCCAGGTAGAACAGAAACGTCATCTTGACGATGACGTCAAGATGACGAGAGAACGACTGTTAGACGCACCTCACCATTCTGACATCACTTTCTGCTCTACCTGGGATCAGAAGGAATAATCCTTGCGAAAGAAAAATGCAGGAGCGTCGACGGCAATTAATCGAACGTTACCTCGGCGATGTGTGTTTTCTTACGATCAAATCACCCGGGTAGATCGTGAGTGAGCAGCTCGTCGTCTCGGGGGGAAATTCTTCACGGTTTCCCTGCGTCGAATCTCCCCGGTGCACGATTCCCCTGAATCCGTCAGCGAGGCGGAATAAGAGCAGTCGACGCATGCTCATCGGCCTGTTATAATTTCGGTTCTATTAGCCGCGCGACGGGGCCCTAGGGTTCCCCTCCCCCGAAGGGATTTTTCGAAGATCGTAAAGTTAAGCAAGGACCCTACCGTGAAGATACCGCGTATACGTGTGCGTGCAACGCACGCCCCGTACGTTTCGCGCGTCGGAACGAACGGGGGCGAAGCGAGAGAGCGGGCCCTGAAGAGGGTCCGCTGAGAGTATACTGTCAAGTAGCATCTTGACACGGGACTCACAATGGCTACTTGTTAGCGCGCTGCGCCAACAGCGAGGGGAAAACGATCCACACATACTTCGCTTTTTCACGTCGAGCTTTTGCGTTTCGGTTACGAGCGCCTCCGAGAGACTGTGCCCCCACCCCTCCTCTTCCCCCGGTGCGATCTTAGAAAAATAATCCTCCGGAGGAATTTTCACTCAGCCGTCCGCAATCGTTTCTCGGCCGACGAGAAAGTCCGTTCGCTCGCGGGTTCAGAGGTGTAAAAGATGCGCTCGAGAAGTTATCCTCGCCGCTTGCTTCCCGTCGGATTTCCCGGATCTCCTCTTTGCATTGCGGGGAGGGGGGACATTTGTTTCTTGCTCGAGTACGCTGGACGCTCCGAAATTGGACTTCAGGTGCTTACAAAGGACATCGGGACACGTGATATTTTGATGAGTGTCCGTCGTGTCAACAAATAAGCCGTTTTGTCGTTAGAGCGAATCGTTTACTGCAGTTGTTTGAAGAACTAGGATCAGGAAACGAATTGCCAATATCTCTGTATTGAAGTAAATAGCTCACACTTCGAACAACTGCTATGTATAACTGACTCCGGTGCCGAGATGATTTTATTTATAGACATGGGTTTGTTGACAAAGATTACTCGTTTTGCCGTTGTCCTTCGTAAGCACCCGAAGTTTGTCGCTCCGATTTCGGGACACCCCGCAAAAAGACATCGATGCTCGCAGCCTGGATTTTGCATTTTCGAACTTATTGTCCCGCAATTGTAAAGAGAAAGCTACCGACGCGTGCGCAAATTGTTACTTACCGCCTTCTAACGCCCAGCTGAGGCCCGAAACAAAACGTCAAAGAGATCCCACGGGATGCTGTGAAAGGATATTCGTGTGCTGTGTGCGAACGTAGATAATGTTTTGCGTGTTATTACTTTAAATAACATCAACTTTACTCGATTACAGTTCGATCGTACATCGTGATCTCTTACTTATGGCTACTTGCGCATCGTCGTCTTCCTTTCCATTCTCGCTGTCTCTCACGTGTACTCCCACACACACACACACACATACATACACCCCCTCTCTTTTTCACACACACACACACACCGCCCACTTACGTGTACACACGCGCGCTTACACATATCCACACTCACTGTTTCGCTCTCGGCAATTCGTCTTCTTAGTTAATTGTGCAACGTTGGGTTTGTTCGCTAAAACACACGAATGAGAACCGGAGAGGACCCAGATGATGATCGTTAATAATAATCTTGCGTTCCCCTCTCGTTCACTCGCTCCTTCAACGCTCCTACCCCTCTCTTTCTCTCTCCTTCTCTCTCGTATGCGCGAGTTGCGTGCGAGTGTATAATTTGTGCAAGAGTCGTTACGATTAACGTACTATTCGTAAAAATTAATTCTTTAGCTTTGGTCGAATCGCAGCGTTCGTTTCGTACAAAATTCGTTTCGAGCAGTTTCTCCCTCCTCGAGTATATATAGATAACGATTCGACGCTTCGCGAGCCTCGAGAGTAATGACGGAAAATAACGATGGCATTTAGAGAAGAGCGAGCAACTTTCGCGGGGGAGGAAAATGAAGGAAGGAAACACCTCGAGGGAAAATCGTGACGATCGCCTCGGAAGTCTGTTTTGTGCACCACGACTTGCGTACAAGAGCGCTCGTGAGTGATATACTTCGAACGCGAGAAGATAAAAACACGACGGTTGCTCCAGCACTGGTCGCGCAACTGAGATTCATAAATAATAATAAAAAAAAAAATGTCTGATTAAATTAAAAGATCCTCCCCCTTATTCTGTAACTTGCTACGACAATTTATCGTTACCGTTAACGTATCCTTGCGCGATCATCTTGTGATATATTTCAAGTTTGTTCTCTTGCGCTGAATGAATGTACGTTTATAGAACTTAAAAAGAGATATGCACGCAGCTAAGACTCGGTGGAAGGAAGAGAAGAACTAGTCAGTGCAGCCAGATCAGCGGAAAAGAACAGACCTTTTGTCCGCGCGAAGATTTCTAACGCATGCGTCAAGAGTTACCGAATAAGGGCGCTGGGTAGAACTATTCCGTGTACTCTATGGAAACGCGAGACTGTGCGGCTGGGAAGTTAACGGGAAGCTCGTTACGTGATTTACACAATCGACGGCCGATTTCGATCGATCCTTACCATCTAACGTAATTTAATCAAACGTACGATCTAATGAGATTGGCTTAAGTTTGAGCTTCTAAAGGCCGGCTCTCTCTGTTCTGTTTGTGTGGCGCAATACTGCTTCTCTAAAAATTAAAAGTATACCGCTGTGGATTTTCTAAAAAGAAACGACAAAATATTCGGATATACCGTAGAACAACGAACAAAAAAAATATCTGTGTCATTATAGTGGTAGAATTATCGTTACCGCGTGTCTGTGTGTGCGTCCACTTCTCGCGCGATATTTTCGTCGAAGAAAGATGTTTCTCCGCATTAACCCCGATTCCGTTCCTCATCAGTCGTTAATATTCTTTATCGTGGTACGCGCAATGTGGCACTTGCGAGTTGTCGAATAAATATGTCGATGCTGCTTCGGGCATAATTATTTCCGCGAGGATCAACGGAATGCGTGCGCGCTGAGTGTGGAAGATGTAAAATAAAAAATAACGTCGTGGTCGGCTCCGCCGCATACACACGCATACATACACAGGTCGAAGGTATTATTATTTTCCACATCCGCGTCTGTCTTTCTCTCCTTCTCTTTTACCTTCACTCTTGTTCTCTCCGCCTCTCCGTCCCTATCTCCTACCCTGTTTCGTCCCGAGGACCTCTCTCTCTCCCGTAAGGGAAATCCTTTCTCTCCTCCGACATCCGAGATAAGAATCTACAAGGCAATGTCGCAGCTAACGGAATATTCAGGACATCTGCGCGCGCGAGATACCCCACGAGTGGAAAGCCGACATTAGAGATGAATGCAAGCGCCACCAAATCGCTACGAAGGCGACTACGCGGGTCTCTCAGTAATAATCTCCTTGGTACGTGACGTACGTCACACGTCGTACACCGCGATTGGATCAAATAAAAATTGCATTTCGCGTTCGTGACCGATGGAATTCGATCCCACCTTTTCCCGTATCGTAAGAAGATGAAAATATATCTGTAAATTGATAGAAAAGAAAGACATTCGGGAGAGAGATGTCGTGATATCAGCGAATAAACAAAAATATTCCTTTCGGCGGAGAAACAACGCGAAAGCGATTCATCTCGTCATCTCGACTTTTCTGTCTTTGTTATACTCTCGCGCAATATTTCTCTCCCTTCCCTTCCCTCGCATCCTTTTTCTTTCGCGCACGCATACACATACTCGCTCTCGCTTTCTCTCTCTCTCTCTCTCTCTCTCTTTTAATCTCACTCACTCACTCACTATTATTTTAGATATATTTATTTACAAACTGTGAACTGCGCGAATAAATGATAACTTACGCGCTACCTTATGCTGCGACAGCGTTCACTGTCTACTGGGATCACCCGAAAGTTCCGATCCCGTCGAGCCGTTTCAGCCAATTTAGGGTGCGAAATTTTTCACCGGTAACAATCACTCCCAACTTGAATTGGTACTCTCACGGGGTAACGATCTTTTTAAATAATAACTTTCGTCTCACACTCATCTATGAGATGTGATGGAAGTGGTCCTTTAATATAGGATTCGTTACGTTGTCACTTCTCCCGAGACATTACCGTGTCTTTTAGCTGGGATAAAGTGCGATCGGAGAACTCGAATTACCGATATAAATTTGGGATCTCGGTAGGCAGCGAACAAGGACGAGATTAACTTAATAGTATGTCGAATGCGTGTGTATTATCTACATATGTACATAGAGGACGAAAACACAAAAGCGTACGGTGTAAGAGGAGCGCGGTTGGATACGGTTAATTAATTAGCGAACGGGTCAAATCCGCGAAGGAAGGGGCAGGGGGAGGAAGGAGGGAAGCGTGGCGAGCAGCTTGTACTCNAAAAAAAAAAAAAAAAAAGGGGGGGGGGGGGAGAGAAGAGACACCGCATCATCGTGCAATTTTGTTCCGCTCGGGCAGGAAAACGGAAAGAAGAATACGGCGCCAAGTACGATGACGGGACAGAAAAGCTGGCGGGATTTTTCGCTCGTTGTTTACTTTATGGAAATAGTAGTGGCAAACACAAGCCGGTTCTTGGCCGGCTCGCCGCGAGTGTACGAACTGGGAAAGAAAAATGCTAATATGTCTTTTGCTATTTCGTTCGTTCGGGAACGTCATCGCCGCCTCGGCATCCTTTGATACCGCTTCCTCGGAGGATCTTCGCGGGGCGAGTTGTTAGCTTTCCGTGGGAAAGCGGCTGAGGAATTTTCGCAGGTGGACCGAAAGTACTTTTGACTAGAAATTAACCGAGAATTCTCGCGTGAACAAATAACCAAAGAGTCTCGTTTAGAAATACTACTACATAAAAAAAAAAAAAGAACGAATTCACAAATTTGATAGAATTTACAAACTCACGTCGTGAATTTGAAAAAAAAATATTCGCTATGCAAGTATGCGTCTTGCGAGCAGCAGTTTTCTTTGAGTATCGATTCGTTATATTTCTACCCGAATGCGCCGAGTGGTGATCACTTAACGAAGTTAAAAAATCTCTCTGAATGCTGGGGCGGTCGCGACGATCGTTGTTAACAGACGGCTTGTTCGACGCTCTTCATACGCTCCGAAACACCCACCGAGAGAAAAGCCCCGTTGCCGCGGATCCGGCGGTGCAGCCACGGGGAACTTTTCTCTCTGCTTATCCGAACATCACCAAGGATCGCCAAAGACAATCATCACTGTGTTGTGTCAAACGAGATTTTGATTTCCAGGTAACCCGCGTTATCGTGTCATCGAGTCGAATTCGCGATTTTCCCTTCCGAACTGTTGAAGCTGTTTTGCCAATTTCGCACCAAAATTCACGCTGCCATCCAGTTACCGAAACCAACAAAAAAGTGAAATAGTGACTCCTTCTTGGCAGAAAAGATAACAAAAGTGACCTCTCGGAAATGGAGATAGTGACTAAAAGTGACATTTTCTTAGTCAAATTCTGAGAGCGATTAAGAACGTTCAAGCAAAAAGTAACATTGCCAGTTTATCTTTGGATAATTTAACACGTAGCAAATTTCTTTCATAGAAGACCAAAGACATAAACGATACGAGTTCCTTTTTCGGAGCAGTTTTATCAAGAGAGACGGCAAAAAAATATATATATATATAACGTCTATGTTTTACAAATTTAACGGCAGCTCAGAAAAAGTGACTATAGCGGCACATTTTGGGCGATAGTGACTTGTGACTCGAGAAAAATGCCAGAAGGTGACTCGAGTGACTGGACGGCAGCGCAGGTAAAACCCAAACCAATCGAATATCGACGAACCTCCTCTCATTTTTGCCGGCCGGTGACGACGGTTCCTCGGCGATCCGCTGGCCAGCAAGTCGAGTTCGAGTACCTTGGATCGATCGGTCTCGCGCGTCGCTCGCCGGATGCATTAAGTCTTCTCCTGGCTGCGCTTGCTCTGAGTGCTTGGGGCCCAAGGTCACAAGGAATGGTACTCGCCCAGCACGAGGCCGCTGTGGTAAGTCGCGTGCGTCGTGGACATCCCCATCGAGCCCATGCTCTGGTAGGCGCCCATGCCCATGCCGTTCATCGACATGGTGTTCATGGTGTTGACACCCTGCATCGTGTTGGACAGCATCGTCGATGGGCCCATCGGACTCAGTCCGCCCATGGAAGGCGCGATCGCGCCCATCTGCATCGACGTAGCCGTGTGCGGCAAGGACTTCTGCAGATCCGCGGAGGTCGGCGTGCCGATCAGGTAGTCCTGCGACAGAAAACGGCCATCTTCGCACTCCTTCGACCCGTCTCGACGTGTCGCGAGAAGACACAGACGTATCTGTCGGAACGAGGGACATATCCTTGGGACCTTGTGCTAATTTCCTCGCGCCTGAACTCGGAGATCGCGCGAGCCCACTGTATTGTCAGATTCTCCGAACTCTCTCTCTCTTTCTCTCTCTCTCTCTCTCTCTCTCTCCCTCTCTCTCTCTCTCGATGTTTGGATACTCTCAAATATTTTACATCTTCGAATTTTTACACACTTTGTAACGTAACAATGTTCACATGTCTGCCACGCAAACCGAAACCAGACAACAAGTTTACTCATTTCCAAAGAGCGTAAAGAAAAAAAAAATACGAGAGTCTACGTTTCATCTTCTCGAGTTTCAGCGATCGAATGTTAAGACATAAAAAAAGGGGGGAGAAATTAACTTAAACGGCGAATATTACCGAAACAAAGGATTGCGGATCGCTCAACCGGTAGCCTCACCTGCGGACTGTAGTACTGCATGTAATCCAGCTGACTCTTCTGCTGGGCGCAGCTGGGCGGTGGTGGTGGAGGTGGTAACGGATGGACCAGACCGTGGGTGCCGTGAGCGCCGACCTGAAGATGATGCTGCAGCTGATGATGGAGGTTCCGCTTGTCGTCGCCGCTTTCGCTGCTCGTGTCGTGATGCTGCATATGTGGATGGCTCAGGGTCGAGCCGTGACCCTGGTGATACGAGTGCGGACTGGACACCGAGACCGAAGGCGGAAGCTGGTACATGCCGGAGGTCTGCTGATGGTCCACCATCTGCTGTTGTTGTTGCTGAACAGCGCAGGAGGACGGTGGCTGCTGCTGCTGCTGCTGTTGTTGCTGCTGCTGCTGTTGGCCGGACTGCCGCTTCGTCTCGTCGCCGCTCTCGCTGCTGGAGTCCCCGAGACCCCCGCCGTGGGCCTTATCCTCCCTCTGGCCACTGAAACCGCGAAGCGACATTCGCACTTGAGAAAAAGAGAAGAGAACNGGGGGGGGGGGGGAGAGAAGAAGAAAGACGCCCGCGCGTTGCTTCTTTCCTGCCGGAGATTTACGCGTAACGCGCGAAACAAGCGGAAGGTTGGAGGAGCCAGCCGGTTCGAAACAAATTGTTATGCTAACTGCGTCGTTATTATATCCGCCGTATTACCACCACACACAACGAGCGCCTTATCACGCAAACATCAGCCTCTTCCCTCTTCGCTTCCCGAATTTTGCGGCCCGCGCCGGCGACGATTATTCCGATCCGTCGTCGGGGAAGAAGTACGAATCGCGAATGCCGGGAGTGAAAGAACGTATCGACGAATCCGCGCTGAGACAGCCGGGAGATGGTCGAGTGTCAAATGTCTAATTACCTCGGGACAGAGCCCTGCCTCACACCACGCCAAGTGCGCATTAACTCGCGTCATTAAAGCGACGCGAATATTAATACGCGCCGCTCCACCGATCCCCATTAGACGCGCGCTCTTCGTCATCCTATTATAAAGACATCCCGGGGGCGCGATTTAATTGCATCCGCACGCAGAGCCTGGGCGCACAGGCGGTGCGCGAGCGTCGCGCGCGTTAAGCAGCGTCCCGCGATAAACCGGCGACGCCGATCGGCGAGGCGGCGGGGAATCGAAATAATATCGCCTAAGATAATACCCGTGCCGGCGCGTAAAGTACCGAGAAGAGGGTATATCCTGCCTCTCCCGTACTTGTGAATTAAGGGCGGGCACTGAGCAGCGCACGGAGGGCGGGCGGGCACGGAGGGAGGCGGGAAGGGGGGGAGAAAGAGAAGCAGGGTGAGGTTTTAAAGAGGCTCGCAGAAAAGGGGGAAGAGGACGGAGGGAGAGAGAAGGAGAGGCGAGAAGACGAGAGAGACGCTCTCCGGCGTCTCGTAAACTCAATTTAGCGGGCTGGACCTCCTCGAAGCACGTGGGACCCACGGGGCCCGAGCGAGAGCCCCCTTCTCGTCTACCTCGCTCTTCCCCTCTTCCACCTTCCTCTCCCTCTTTCTCTCTATCTCCTCCAGGTACCAGCAATCGTTAAGCGCTTGTTTTACAAGTCGTTTAGACGCGAGGCCGACGATACCGCACTGTTCAAGGCAAGTGCTGCGACACTTGTCTACGGGGTGTTTTCGAGAACCGGTCTTTGCGCACGAGAGAGAAACTACCGGAGTGATAAGGGAGCGGCGGAGGAGGCGGCCGGTGCCCGTGAGAAAGTATTCCGGCCGCGAGAACCGATATCGACAACGTTGCGATAGGTCGTTGCGGAGGATCCCCGAAAGATTTTAATTGCGCGTAATCGAGAGGAGATGAGAGAAAAACGATTCAGAACTGCTTAAAGCCCGGCCTGATCCTCGCCGTGATCACACTGAAAAAAGGATTTCGTACGATTACTAAGACGGTAGCCAATTACCGAGACTTGGTTAAATAGGTTTTATTATATTATCTGATACTCAACCAAATAATTTAATATCATATATTATAGTATATAGTACGAAATTGTTTGGTTGTAGTGACCAAATAATTTAATTGAAATTGAGCAAACTTCGCTAATTGCTTTGTCCAAATCCCTTTATCAGTGCAGGAAGAAGAGAAAGAAGACCTGCTTCTTGGCGCGTTTGTTACTATACGTGTTATTTCGACGAGCTCGACGGGACGGAAAGTTGAAATGACTCGCCGGAATTACACACACGCACACGTACCACTCCAGCACCGATATTATTTACAGGAGATGCTTCGAATTCTCGATTAATCAAGACGCCACTTGCGTATTTTCGCGCGAAATTCCCGATGCTAATTCCCGACACGGCTCGAGACCGAGGCGTCCATAGCATCGATCTTTTTTCTTGGCATCGCCCGTTGTATTCGCTGATGCCTCATAGTGTAATTACACCGGTTTCGATTATCCTCCCCCTCCTCGAGAGAGAGAAAGAGAGAAAGATGCGGTTTCTAATTAGTCGAAACGTTGTTTCTGTATTGTCGTATAAAGATAAGGCCCTCCGAACGACGGTGGAGCCGAGTCTATCGCATTGATCTTTTTCGTACCACCCGTTACATGCTGGAACCTATAACCGGACGGAGGTGTCCCCAGGTATGCCTTATCCGTCCGTAGATCGCGCAGTAAATTTATCCGCGTTACACCGCGCGACCACGAAAGAACGGAATCTTTCGGGCATTATTATTTTCATTAGGATTTGTGACTCATCGCGTGCAGGAGACATTTATTTCGAAGCCATGTCTCCGTGACACCTACTCCGCGTCTCCGGGATCGACGTTTTTCTTTTTTGCTCTCCCCCCCTCCCCCCCTCTTGTTTCTCAGTAGACCACGTGGAATCGAGGAAAGAGGGGGAGAGAGAAGACGCGCGCGCGCGTGTGTCTTTTAAACGTTGGGAGCTTCGACGATCTAACTCCGAGGGGAATAATTAATAATTATCTCCGTGCAATTTGTCATCTCGATATATTTGCGCAAGCCTCTTAAATCATTCTACCTCTCCGTTGTTTCTCTCGGCTTTTTGTGACGATAAGCATCGGGATTGCGCTAAATTTAATGAGGTATTCTCTTGTCACGGGAGATTTCGATCGCAAAGATTATCACGCACGAGAAATCACAAGGGATGATCGTTAATCAATTTTCGGTGTTTTTCAATTGAAAACATCGCGATAATATCAAGAACAATGATAACTGAAATTAAATGTTTCATCCCGAAAATATTGGTGTAGGAAGAAATTGCTACACCACGCAAACGGGATAAAAATATTCGAGAGAAATGCAGCGAAAAGACAGCAGCGGCAAATATTGATGTATTGCCCGATACGATAATTACACTACGCGAAATATTTCATAATCGTAATGAACATCTGAGCGTTACGCTTAACACCGTGTTGTGCATTCGCGCGATAGATAAAAATGACAGGGGAGATTTTCCCATTTTACGCATTCCGTTCATACTCGCACGTCGTCCGCGACGAGATCAGCGTCAAGGGTTATAAAAAATGTCGGGAATGCGAAGGGAGATTCTAATCTGCGGACGTTCTCCTACGTGAGTCCACGTTGTCTCACGAAAAGTGGACGAATCGATCTCGCCGACCGCCACGGAATTTCGAAGTAAATCTTATTTACGAACCGACCGATTAATAAAACCAGCCGCGCCTTCGTCGATCATTATCTTCTTCGCGCTAAAACCGACACGCCTGTCTGTGTGCTATAAAATCGGGATCAATGACTTCCAGTTAGTACACGTCATTGAAGCTGCAATTAAGGATGTATTGCCTATAACTCAAAATAATGAGAAAATTATGGAAAAAATTACAAATTGATCTACACTGCATTCAAAGGTGACATCAAAAGTTAACAGTAATTTAGAGCCTGCATCAAATTTATTCTATTTTAAAAAAGGTTGTAAGGTGAAATGAGTTTGATAAGAGTTCGATGAAACTTGCACTGCGTATGCAGTGAAATATTATCTAATTCGTAAATCTAATTGCTCGTGCAATTTGAAAAAGATTGACCAGAGCTGAGATTTTTACTGTTGTCTCCTTTGATATAAACGTACTATTTTTAATAACTTCTAAAGTAAAAATAAGATTGTGACAAAAAATTACTATGATATTGAAAACTAATATATAAACATACGCAAATGTCAGAATTATTGACTATTTTGTTTTGAAAATATAGAGATATTAGGTTCATAATTTATAATAATACTCGAAATATACATATACATATATCTAAATATTTATATATCTCTTTCTACTATCTGTGAATCTCTATTAAATCAATTGTATGATGTATAAATATAGCATCAATAAGAAAAATAAAAAGTAATATTTTCGCGTTTGTAATGTTGTGTACATGTCTACATCAACTTCGTTTCAAATCAACATTTATTATTTAAATAGCGAAATCAAAGAATAGAAATCTAATTTTACTTGACAAATATCAAATTTACGAGTGGCTACCTTGGTGCGCCATTGAAAATAATGGGCATCTTTAAGCTATGGCCAATTTAACTTATTCTCAAGTGAAATATAACGCTATTTGTACATATAACCTGTTCATTCTTCATAATATCTCCATTTTCACAAATCGGGTTATCGCGCTGATGCGTTTTCGAGAAATAATTAATCGATCGCGATTTATCCCGGCCAAGCTGATCTCGAGTGATTCTTCTTTTAACTTGAAGAACTTCGTTTCAGATTCGAGTTACGTGATCGTCCTCGGACGATCGAGAGCCGTGATGCAGCGTCGAGCCAGCAAATTGCAAGTCGCGCGCGCGCTGTACTCGCGAGAGGCGCCTTTAATTGGGCAGCGCAAATAACGCATAAATAAACCGGGGAAACGCGACGCCCGCCGCTGCTCATTCACGGCGGTCGACTTCGGTGAGGTGCGGTCTATATAGGGCGCGCCGGAGGTATTAGCATAATTCCTAATTTAATTTCTCGATAAATTCCCGATCGCACGCTCGCCACGAAATGAGATGCTATCGCGGCACCACTAATTCGCGTCTAAGTTTATATCGCCTGGAACCGGCACGGGGCCCGATACCATCTCCTCCCCCGTCTCTCTCTCTCTCTCTCTCTCTCTCGCTTTGTCTCTCTCTTTCTCTCACTTCGCGTCGGGGCCTCCTCGTAAAATCGGATTATATCGGCTCTGTCGCCCCTGCGATGTCGCGCACTTTATTCCGGGCTGCGCGTGCGATATCGTCTTGTTGGAAACGAGCTTTTGCGGGGTCAGAGTGCGAGTGGACGCATGTAACGAGTTCTCTCCCTTTAGCATTTCGTCGACTCCACCACCACGTGAACGCTTTTCCGTGCCGAGAAAAGCACTCGGGCGACGGACTTGTACGGCGTAGCAAGCACGGAAATAAATTCGCAAGCTAACGAAATATCAAGTCTCCGGTGAAATCTTGAAATTTATTCCGCGGCATTTAATATTCCCGCGAGTAACATATTTTAT